GTCCCTGCCGCCGGGATGGGGTTCCCTGGTGCCCCGCTGCCGTGCCGGGCACGGCAGGATGCAGCATGGGGAGTGCACCGCTCCCAGGCCCTGGAGAGCATCTCTGCTCCCGGCCTGGGGACACCTACCATGGGGACATCCCAAACCGGGTCCTTCCCCATCCTCGGCGGTGCAGAGCAGCAGCACATCCCGGGCGTTTGCATGGCTTAGAAAGTGTTTTCTTTCTTTCTTTCTTTCTTTCTTTTCTCCTGCTTCCACCGTATGTTGCAGAGCAGGTCTCCCTCGCCGAGCCATCCCTGCATCCCAGCCGAGCGCTGCAGCCTGAGCCTCGGGGACGGAGGGACCCACAACCCGTCCAGGTGCAACGGAAGAGAAGCCCACCGCCCAGCCCGGAGCGAGCACTCCTCTCCTCCTTGCCTCCCGCAACACCGTCAGAGGATATTTCCCTTGTTTCTTCCTTTTCAACAAGCCCCAAGTCTGCTCTTAAAATGCACTAAAACAAAGACAAAAGAGGGAGGCTCAAATCCTCTTAACCCATCCCCGCCACCCGGCTCTCCCCTCCGGACCAGCACCGTGCGGGGTGATGTCCCCCGCTCCCCACCTTCACAACAAGGTACCGACAAACCCTGCCACGTCCTTCAGGGGCACTTAATCCATTACAAATTTCACAAAGCCCGGCTTGGGGAAGCGCTGGGCCAGAAGAGCAAACAAACAAGGCAGGAATAAAGCCTGGCTCTCAATGAGCGGACCCAGCGCGTGGCTGGGTTTTTATTTCTTTCCCCACTTCTCCTCCGGCCGACCACCTTTTTTTTAATGATTGCATTTCACTTGCCGCCCCGTAACAAAGCCATCACCTCCGCCGTGACTCCGGGGAGACGAGTTACAATTACAAATTACCACCACAATTAGTGCTAGTTCTTAGAGAAATTAGAAAGGGGAGCGGGAGGCTCGCGTGCGATTGATTGCTATTCATCCTGCTTTACGGTGACCTTGCTCTGGAGACGATGATATTCCTTCAGCCTGGAAACAGATTTAAAAAAAAAAAAATTAATTGTAAATTAACAGTAATAACACACATTTCCTTTCAATTAATTTAAGCAGAATGAGGGGGTGTGAAGAGCAGGCGTTTGTTAAGGCCTGTACAGTTTAATTTTTTTTTTTTTCTTCCACGAGATAATGTAATTAATTTATCTTAGAGGGGTGGGGGGACATGCCGGATCGGGGAGAACAAAGCAGTTAACAGGCAATGGAAAAATTAAGAGCCCATTATGTAAATGTGGCGTGTTTTACAGCCCTGGAGTTGGGGGGGGGGAGTATGGCGGGGTCTGAGAAATAAGTAAAATAACGAGACTGGCTGTGCTGGGGAAGGCTGTAATTAGGCCGGGCTTGTGGTGGGGGGGGGGGGGAGTGCCG